TTTGTTAAACATTTAAATTATTTTCATCATTTAAAAACTGATAGAAGGGGAAAAATGAAGAGGGGGAAATCAGAGGGGGAGATGAACCATGAGAGAATATGGAGTCTAAGAAACAAACTGAGGGTTTTTTTGCGGGGGGATGGATGACCCTGGTTATGGGTATTAAGGAGGGCATGGATTGGATGGAGCACTGGGTGGTATATACAAACAGTGAATGATGGAACACTACATCAAAAACTAATGATGTACTGTATGGTGACTAACATAACACAATAAAAAAATTTAAAAAATAAATAAAAATGATAGTGTGTAAATGACAGTGTATTGTGATAAGCCTCATAATTGAACATTTTTTAATGATTTCACTTTCTTAAAATTATAAAGGGAAATAACCACAAAACATCAGAAGCAGAGAGAATTAAAATTGCCCTATAATGCTAATTAATGGGACATTTCAACAATAGTCCTTAAAAAACCACTTTTGTCATCATTTTATTTCTCTGCACACTAATTAATATGTATGTAGGGTACTGATTTTCATCACATCATCGACTCCACAAATGTATTTTGTTTTCTTCAAAATATTCATTATTTAGTTTCTTTAATATGACCAACTTCATGCATATTTTCTGCACCTCACTCTTTGCCCTAAGACCAGATTATTATAATCATGTCATTTTTAAAACTTCTAAAATGCTCACTGTGAGTCTGGGACAGTGCAAAGAGCTTCGCATGTATTATGAAACTCATTCTTCGAAACCGCACTGTGTGGGATAGTTTCTGTTATTACCTTATTCACATCCATGACTGGTTTACCCAAGCGACCCATATGTAACGGACGCATCCAGGACTCCTCCTAGTTTGACTACAAACCCCATGATCTTAATTCTTTTGCTTTGTAATGGTGTCAAAAGATAAGGACTTTTTTATTGCTCGTTGATAGGTTTCAGAGGATTGTGTCCTAAAGGCTTAGTGCCATTTTTCAGTGGCCTAAGTGCCTCTCTGTTTTCTCTAGTACTGAGTGCCATTAGTTGTTGTTATTGTTGTTTTACTTAAAGGGATAAAGCCTTTTGTTTTCTTCCCCTTTTTAATTTTTTTTTAACCAATAAACTGAAAATATCTGTTACCTAATTAAATTACTTGTTTTGTGAAATTACCCTTCCTGTGTTTCTCTTCTTTGTCTATTAGGATCTTAGAGCTTTTCTTATCTGCTTCTATGATCTCTTGTTTAGCAATTTAAATCATTTATCCATAGCCTGTAGTCTTGATTCTCTGATCTAGTATCGTGGAGAATTTCTTCCCTAGAGTTAAAATCACCTTGCTTTGGTAGGAGGGAGGTTATCTTACTCACATTGACACACTTCATGCATATATTGATCAACTCTGTGTTAATTCCTGGCTAAAGTAATTGTATTTGAATCTTCTTTGGGTCTGGAAAGCTTCTGTTATATTTTAATCTTCTGAAGGACAAATCAAAATATCTTGTTGAAACAAAGACTCACAGCTTTTTTTGTTGTTTTGTTTCTTGTTTTTAGTATAAGCCTGGAAGAGCTAAACTATTTTATACTTGGCTAATAATGATCTTGCTGTAGCTGCACGCAGTTACTTACAGACTTCCAGGTGCTACAGACTGATGAGAATGCAGATGTGGCCTGTGTGGAGCCATAGCTCACAGAAATTAGATTGGCTGCTATTTCTAGCACATCTTGGTTTCTATTTCTAAATTATCTCTGAGGCTTGTAAGCATTTTCAACCTGTACTTCAAGTATTTATTGATTAAGGGAAGAGCCTGTATACCATCTGGTGCTGAGGTGTTACTGTGACAGCATCCTCAGAGTTTATTTTAAAAGATTTATTTGGTGTTATTCTTACACATTTGATAGTCCTAGTAAAGGAAGTCGAGTTTTAATTTTCTTAATGAGGCATAGAATACTGTGATCACTACTAAATCCTTAGGAAAAAAAATTCATGGGATTGATTTTTCAAAAAAATCACATGGACCCTTCGGTATTTATAGGAGTTGGTCATAATGTATATTTATATTATAAGTGGAAATATTTAGTATGATCATATTATATGGATTGTGAAAAAAAACAATTACTCTGAGATAATAATCTAGTCCATCACTTTGATTATGATATTACTAAGACTAAGTTACCACTTTTCTCCCAAAATGTATGATATGCCAGATCCTGATCTAAGCGAATATATATATTCTCTCACCTCATTTCCACAAAACTGTCAAGATAGGATCTGCTATTATTCCTATTTTATAGCTGTCAACTGAAACACAAAGAGATTAACTCATTTACCCAGGGTAATTTATTTGTGCCATCTTAAAATAAGTCAGATGTTATCGGTGCAAATTCTAAATCAATGACAAAAAAAATGCAAGGGTTTGATTTTACATGATTTTGTATTTTTGATTAAAGTTTGTTAAAACTTTAAATTAAAGCTCTAGTGTTAAGTAAGGTGATATAAATTCCTCAAGACTAAAATTTGTGGATTGGGTGTTACAGTGAATAGCATGTATATTTGTGTGTATGTGCGTATGTGTGTGTGTGTATTAAATTGTAAGAGATAAACCTTATTATAATTTTTAAATTAGGAAAATTATTATTTTTAGGATCATTCAAATTAGGAAAATTATTATTTTTAGGATCATTAGTGTGTTTTGTCTCAGGACACTGGCTGAATATTAAATCCTGTTAGGTAATGCCAAACCACAGTGAAGTTACCACCTTCCTAAACACAGCTCTACATGAGTTTATAAACTGTATAGTTTACAACTAAAAGTATGTTTGTACTTTATTGGGAGATTACATCATCTTTTTTTTAATCATCGAAAAGTAATCAGATATATTTGTCAACAATTACTATTTATTAATTATTTATTGAATTGGAACTCTGCTTTTTGAAATTAACACAGATATGCAAACTTTCCACATCAATAACTTTCAGTAAATTGAGCTAATTGTGTCATAGGTAATACCAATTACAGTAAAACACTGACTACTTACAGATGCCATTCATTTTGTTTAAACTGTGAAGTAAAAGAAAAGATCAAAGAATCATTCTCATCTTAGGAAACTAATAGCCTAAGAAAAGAGGAAGGCAAACATTCTCTAAGGGCAGGTATTAAATGTTTGAGGGCCCTATATTCTCTGTCATAACTACTCAACTGTGTCATAACAGCATGGGACAAGCCACACACAAGTAACGAGTATGGCTGTGTCCCAACAACACCTTATGGACAAAAATAAGTGGTACGCTAGATTTGGTCCATGTGCTGTAGTTTGGCAACCCCTTATCTTAGGGCTGATACAAACAGAAATAGGAAAGTTGATTTATATAAGACATCAGTATGTGTTTAAGACATTAATGAAATTAATTTAATTATAAAGAAATATATTAAGAACTGCCAAAGTATTTCGCGGATGTTTTAACTACTCTTTAAGTATTTTAATATTTTGATATACCTTAACTTTGAATTTCATTATCTCTATAGTGAAATAATTTTAAGGCGTATTTTTTAAAGAATTAACTTTAAATTTAAAAAGAATTTAAAGAATTTAAATTTAAAGAATTTACACTCAGGGAGTGTGGCAGGCAGAGGGAGAAGCAAGCTTCCTACTGAGCAAGGAGCCCAATATGGGACTCAAGTCCAGGATCCAGGGATCATGACCCGAGCCAAAGGCAGACACTCAACCGACTGAGCCACACAGGCACCCCTTAAAAATATATTATAATAAATAGTCAAATAAGAGATAACTGTCACAGTAGCCATTTTTATTTACTAGGATTTCACTTTAGTGACAGCCAAATTCCCAATTAGTAGTCTTAAAAATTAAAACAACATCAGTTTACCAAAAAAATTATATAGATAGATAGATAGATGATAGATAGATAGATAGATAGATAGAAAGAACAATCCTTACTTTTCCTTTCCAAAAGACCCTTTGGAATTTGATTTGGAAAAACTTATCTACCTTTTTTAACATTTCCAAATTTGTTAGATGTTTATATTTCACTTTCCTCTCCTTATTTGTTATAAAATAGAGTAGATACATTTCAAATAATTACAATTCAAAATAGACAGATTTTAGACAAAACCCTAGGCCTGCTGGTTTATGTGTTATTGCTGAGTTCATTTCTCTGTTCTCTTGAAACCATTAGAAACGATATTCATAAAATATACTAGCAAGTGAATACATTGAAGCACTAAATAAACTTATGTTATAGTCTGCGATCAGTTTTGTGGTTTCTAATGATAAAGTGCATTTTAGTAAGTAATTTACTTGGTATTTTCTGGATTTTTTATGACTATGTGGAAAATTTGAAAGAATCTTAAATGTTGCAATATCCAGAAAAATGCATGTATTATATATAGTTTGCTTTTTTATTATAGCAATAGCTCTACAAATATATATTTGGAGATGCAATTTTTTAAGTCTGAATATGTAAAGTTAAATTGGTAGTTTTCCATAGGTGATTGGAGAAGTCATGTAAGCGTAACATTTTCAATAGGTTGTGATAAATAATGCCACTGGCATACAAAATCAGTGGGTCAAACTAGTAGGACATTATTCTCCCTCCTAATTTGTAGGCTCTATGCAAACATGTATTTAAAGGACAATTTAGCATGTCTTCTGAATATAAATCTTGCAGGAATTTCTGAGGAAAGATATTTAAATGGGCTTAAATCTTTATTTGTATGTTTGTATTAATTGCATAATCAAAAGCTTTGGCTCATTATATTTCCTACGAATAAGCATTTTAAGTAAAATAAAAATAATTATTTAATATAGCTATGTATTTCATAAATCCATAAAATGCTATTTAATTTGAAAAGCATTGTGGAAGAAATTTAATTGTAATGTCTTTAGGGATTTTGCTTTTGAAAAGCAAAACAGACACCTGTCTAAATTCATAGAGTCTTAATGCTATATTGAGGGAGTGGGATCTCTTCCTTATCTTGGGCTCTCTTGTTTGCTTTTCAGTTGCTGCGAGTGTGGCTGTGGAAGGGCTTCTTCCCTGTGCGCTGTTGCCCATCCAAGCCTAATATGGTTAGTGTTCCGCACCCGCTTTCACTCCTATGTAATGTCCCACCTATATGTATTATCGTCAGCATTCCTTTTTTATTTTTCTCCATTTGTGTACATTTTAACAGCTAGTGCACCAGTTGTGCCTAAAAGAAGAGTGAACTGATTTCCAAAGGGGAATCTTAACAAGTCATTGGGTAAAGGATAATTTCAAAGAAAATATACGTATAGCACATCATCCTTATGTCCAGCATTCATACTTCTCTTCCAAAGCGTTTGCTGTGGTCCTGATTTAAACCAGAAGTTATAAGATTATAGCACCTGTTTTACATTTAACATGTTGCTGTGTTTGTTGTTCCATTAAGATTAAAATCGTATCATATGTGGAGGTGGAATGCTACTTCTTGCTGAAATGCTGCTTCAAGGTGAAATCACCATTTCTCTCTCCCAGAACCATGGAATGACCATAAATTAACTGGGATCTTCTGGTTTTTTTTTTTTTTTTTTGTTATCATTGTGATACATATGGCATTGGAGAATAGAACCACATGTAACTTTAAATGGTTTATTTAATATTTTAAGCTTGGATTATTTCAGATATTAGATGTTAGAGGTGATATTTCTAATTTGATATCGGTGAAGTAAAAAAAAAAATGCACATTTTGGGAATCAGTGTCCCAATGGGATAATCTTAATTACTTACAAATGCAAATCCTGATTATATATCTGGGTTATAGCTATAAGCTATAGGTTGGTAGAAAAGACCAGAGACCTCTATCCACAGATTTAGAGAGACTCCAACATAACAGTGTACTATCTTGGAAAAAGTGAAATAATCCAGATAATTTCTGCCCAGATTAAAGAATCTAAATCCTTGTACTATCATATTGAGCTTTTATCTGTAGTCAAAATTTGCAAGGAAAAGATAATCCGAAATGCATTTTAGAGAAGTATAAGGTTTCCTTGGAGCACTTTAAATTGTAACTTGCATTCTCTAGATGTAAATTAATTTTTGTTAATTAAAAAAATGTTATGAATATATGTGCACATGTGTGTACATGTAAGAAATGGTGGGCTGGATACCAGTGATCTTCTGAGAACGAGAGAAAGTAACAAGCAGATTGATAAAACTCAAGAGATCTTTTTCTCAGTCTTTTGAAATTATAGTACTTGTAAAAAGTTTCAAACTTATTATGAAAGCATAGATTTGTTTTACTTGACTTAACGTACTCTAAAAATTCTTTTTCTGAGCATGGGGCTTTGGTGACAAACCAAAAAACCCTGAAATCTGGCAATGGCTAAAGTGTAACATAAATAGCTTTACATTGTGATTTTTTAAACCACGTTATGGAAAGCTAAAAACAAAAATAAAAGTTGCTGAACTGTTCATACTACTTGAGCCTCAAATATAGTTGTTGTAAGAGATATATCTTCACTATGTAGAATAAATAAAATTTACATCTTGGAAAAAAAGATTGACATCCAGGCCTACCTTGAGGTAAATCGCAAATATAAACTTATTGTGAAAGTAAAAATTTATGAAGACATGATTTAGAAAGTATTGGCAAGAACAAACGTTAGTCAGATTTTAAATGCTTGAATTTTAAAAATAAAATCTTCTTCCACTATACAGAGGGCTCAGGGAGTTTATAAAATAAATAAAAGGAAAAATAGAAAGGCAGAATGCTTCCTTTGCAAAGAACACATCAGAAAACCTGACCACAGAAATGTTTTTCTAATATTTTTACTCAGATAACATTAGTAATTTTGAGTGTATCTGTGTGTGCGTGTGTATTTGTGTGTGTGTGTGTGTGCACATGTGCACACACACACACACACTGAATGAATGAATGAATGAATGATTTAGCCACAAATGTGCTTAGATACCTAATAAAATGGTAACAGTTTTCATGGAAAAATTTATGGAAGATCCAGAATTTTTTAATGCAATCTTAGAAAACAAGACAAAATAAAGTGGAAGAAAAATTTTTAAATTGATTTTACATAAATTAGACTGTAAGAGAATTATCTAAAATTATTACTGGGAAAGAATGGAAGTTTAAGATGTTCTTATTGTTATGTTTTCTAAAATGCCATTTTGTAATGGAATGTCAAGTCACCACAAGGTTTCCGTTAAAAATGCTATCTGTTTAGATTAAATCATTGAGGAGAAAACAACATTTTATCGTGAAAATTAAGGGCTGAGAAGAATAATTTTCCTAGTAGTCTGTACTGAAAATACTGAAATACTGAAAAATCTTGACCCGAAATCTTGTGACCCAATTTCATGTATAATCATATCAGGATGAGTCAATTACCACAGAAGTATTTTCCAATGGAACATTCTATCACAAGCATGTGTGAACAGACATAATAGACCAAAGATTGTTAGACATTTTGAGATTTTGTAATCTCACTGCTTTTCATTTCTCATGTATAGTTGGTTTTGACCTTAAATTCACTACATTATAATGCAATTAAAATTGCCCACTGTAAATTTACTGGCTTTTAAAAGTACCTGGACATACCTTGTGGAAATCTCAGGGTCTTAAAAGCACAATTTTAAACCACTGACTGAGATCTTTCATCCTCCAGTTCAACTATATTAAAGCTTCAATTCTCCAGAGTTGTGAGTTTTGCTGTGTAATATCCGTCACGAAAAAACGATGCTCCATTCCTTCTCAAATGGATGGTGTATCATTTATAAGATAATATTAGTAATTAGATGCTGCCACCTTTGATCTCAAATTATTTTTCATCATTCTAGTTGCCCACTTTGTATGAAATCTATGGTTATATATAATGTTAATATTTCAAATATTCTTTATTCTTTGACTTCAATCTACCCAATAATAGAAATTATTTCTATAATATTTATGATTGAAACCTAGAGGCCTAGATTTTAGGTACCCAAGGTAGCCTACCTACATTTTTAGCAGAGGTATTTTTTATTGGTGATCTTTGACTTTATGACATCATAACTATCTTGAGATTCTAATTACTATTTTACTTCTCAAAGGAAATCTATTTTTACAAATACTCTGTGTTGAATGGATTTGTTTTTTAATGTAAATAAGACATTAGTGTTTGTAATTTCTAAAATAACATTATCATTAATCCCTTAATATTCATTTGTGCTTATGTTTACAAAAACCAGAAAATGTTTATAACATAATATTTATTATAAGTCCATCTGAAAGATCCCATGGTCCCCAAATAGCTTTTTCTTGTATTTCTTAAATTCAAACATATGTCAGACTATTTTCTTCATTCATTAATTTTCATGTTTTTCCAATGTCTTCTTATCACTTACTGCTTTTTCTGAAGTGTTCTAGTGGCAAGGGAAATAGAGTTTTATATTCTGAAAACAGAGGTATTAAAGGTTCATTTACCTGTCCTATAATTCAGGAAATCAATCTCACTTTTTAGAGATTTTTTAAAATATTATTAATCAGAGATGTGAGGGAAAAACTAATGCAGAAATTAGACCAAAACAAAAACAAAAACAAATTTCTCTGACCACAAAGATCACAAATTATATTGAAATATGACATTGGGATACATGGGTGGCTCAGTCAATTAAGCATCTGACTCTTGATCTCACCTCCGATCTTCATCTTAGGTCTTGATTTCAGGGTCCTGAGTTCAAGACCCACACTGAGCTCCATGCTGGGCATGGTACCTACTTAAAAAAACAAAAACGAAAAAAAAAAAACCATTATCTTAATGTTTCAATGAATTATTTTTCTTTCTTTATATGAAGTGAATATTTCATATGAAGTGAATATTTCTTAAAATTTAAAGTGAGCAAATTTTTATTTCCACATACATACAACAGAGATTATTTCATTCATCTTCACAACATTTCTGTCAGGGACGTATGTGGAAGTACTATCACATTTTATAGAATTAGAAGAGAGACAGAGAATATAAAATTATCCCTTATAATTCTAGACCCCCATTTGAAGTGCTCATAGCAGGCAGATGTAAGACATGCCATTGCAATATATAGAGAATATATTAAATTCCAATTGAAGACTTGCTGTATAAAACATAACAATGAACTGCTCCCAGATTCTTTTTATAATACTTGTGGAACCTCAAGTAGGAGATATTGTAGAAGATATTTGTGGACCTACTCTAATTGAGAAATCCAATAGTCATATTCATGAAATAGTTAAAAATTAATAGGATATTACCTAATCTTACATTAGAACAAAATTTATTGAAAACAGGGAGACAGTCTTCACATGTCATACTTTATGAAATGTGTTTTTACATCAATATTCTAAGTCAATTAAAATTTAACTCCATGTTGAAAAGTTTACAATTCATCTTTGAGTATTTGAAAGTGTTCAAGTCTTCCTATTGCTAATTCTAAAATGATCTGAAGAGTTCATTAATCAAAAATTTACCAATTCATATGTACTATGCTATTTTGGAGGCTGTATTCTTTTTTTCTTTGTCTTTTAGAATATGGAAATTAAAAAATGGGATGTAAGACATAAAATAAGAAATAAGTTAGTGTCTCATGTTGCCTTTAATCATAGCGTGGTTAGTATTCTGATAGAATGTGAGACGGGAACTTTGCAAGCTAAGCCTACGTTTTGTGTGGTATAATCACTTCATTCCCATATCCCAAGGAAAGTGTGATTTTCAGCATGAATACATTTCTCTTGAGAAGTGTGCTTGAGAATTTTCAATAAACAGTAATAGATCATTTTTTTTTGTATAACTTAAATCTATCTGTGAAGACCTCAAAAATCACAGTACCCCTAGTATATGAATGAGGAATGTATGAACGAGAGTCAAGGACCTGCAAACAATACAGCTTAATATTCAAAATCTCATTTCAGTACATTTTCAATTGCATTCTTATTGAAGAGTATCATCCTGTAAAACAAAAGTTAATTTGTTTCTAGTATTCATTAAATATATTAATAAGCTGGTATTCATATGCTTCTTTATTTTATGAGGCTGAATTAGCTGAGTTTTCATTAAAACTAGTTTTGTTTAGTTGGAGAGAATCCTGAAGTGAAAAAGTCCAACTCCTTCCTCAGAAGTTGTAACTTATTCTTTTTAAGATGTTAGCAATAAAATTCTTAAATAAATTATGCAGTGGTTAAGGTCATTATCATGTAAGAATAGGAGAGTGTGCACATCTGGAGAAGTGTGGTTTTTAAAGAGGTTTAAATTACAAGAAGATTTTATTTTCCAAGGTAAAACATACTGCTATTTGTTGCCTTTTGAATTTTATTTTTTGGCTCTAAAATATAGGTAAGGCATTTCTTAATCTGGAAAACAGGGAGGCAACATAGAAGTTTCCATTTCTGACCTAGGGACTGCATATGCTCACTCTTTGAGAAAAATCAAAATGTGGAACTATTTCTTTATCCCTCCCCACCTGATACAGAATTCAGCAGGAAGAAAAGTGGTTTTTTGTTTGTTTGTTTGTTTGTTTGTGTTTGTTTTTGTTTTGTTTTGTTTTGTTTTTTGTTTTTTTTTTCTGTGGGCTAAAGAAATGGAAAACTGATTCTCTGGAAGCTGTAGTTGAACAAGGATTTACAATCTCATTTGGCTATTGCTTTCACTCATCTTTCCTCATTAGTCATAAGGGTGCCATTTAGTAAAGTACTAATTCTATGCATTGCTTGGTCCTCTGGTGGCCTTGACATTCATACTCTAATTTATTATCAAATTCTTAATTGACATCCAAGAATTAAATTACTTATTGGCACATCCATCCATACATAAATGTATTATGGAAATACTTTCATGTATTATGGAAATTTCAAATATCCAAATTTGGATCATTTCTGATTGGGACTAAATTTTGAAGATCAGAATTAGTATCCTCAAGGATGTGTTACCTAAATTCTTAGAACAAGTATGGGAGAAAATAGGCTGGTTTCTAAATAACCTATCAAAGTCATTGTTATATTTACACATTGTCTCTCTAGGACTTCTTAACAAATATTAATTAATGAATATGAATCATACCTACATTCTCATAGCCACCTCTACTACTAAATAGTAAGACAGCATTGTTTTCTAGGAAAACATAAGTAAAAATGACAAGAAGATGATTTCCCTAATTGAAAACACTCCAGATATTTTTAGTACAGTGATATCAAAGCTCATTAAAATTGTGATAGGGAGCAAAATGAAGAAACTGTTTCTTTTCCATTCAGGGAAAAAAAAAATCGGTTCCAGAGGGTAGGAGGCATAATTTATGTATAGAATGGCATATTTATTGACTGTTTGTCTGATGGGTTAAAATTATGCATCTGGAGCAGGTACAGAAGATGATACTGAATGAGCAGTCATCCTGCAGTGCTCTGTTCGTGAGGCTGAACCGCTGCTCGAGTGCCAGTCTCTGCCAGCTGCACTTTTACTTGCTGTATCTTGTTGAGACTTGTTTTAATGATGCTTTTGGGGGTTCCAGAACTTAATTTTATATGTTAATGTGGCATACAGCCGTATATGTTACTGAGCTCTAGAGAAGCCCATAGTCAAAAATAACTCCTTTCTATTGCCCTCCTGACTCTCTTCTTAGGTATTAAAATGTTAACCAGTCCTCACCAAGGTATTCCCAGACCACTTTTTAGATGAGATCCAAAGTTTTATTTCCATTTTCATATGAGGAATTTGCATGCAATTTAAAAATCCATGAGGCTTATTTAATGATAAAGACTATTTGAAGATACAAATTTGAAAGCTTATTATTTTTTTTCCTTTTGAAGGCAGAGGAGTTAAAGGTAGAATGGATGTTTGTTTTCTAAAGTAAACTGCAAGAACTTGTATACTTTTCAGGTCTCTTTAGAATTCTAACAAAGGTTTTTTTGTCGGTGTTATTTAAATAACCTAAATCTCAGGGTGATTTCACACAATTGTAGTTAGAACATTGATTTTAAAAAGTATCAATAACTTCTCTCTAGAGACTCATATATTAAAGATTGAAAGAATAATGTAGTATCTAGAAAAATTATGAACAGTGCGTTAAAATAACTTAAATGTCAGACCAAATGTAGTTTTAGTATGATTTTATGTATTTTTTTTCCTCTCCATTTCACTGCAGTGATTTAATTCAAGATGTCTTAAGGACTCTTGGATGACAAAGCAGCTATCTAAGTGTTATGAATAAAATTTGAAAAACCACCAAATCCCCATTGTGTATTTTTCTTCACCCAAGAACAGCATTCCTAGTAAGGATATTTCAGATTTCCTCAAATATCACTTAGCTGTATTTTATTAATAAACTGTCAGTTTGTTAACATGATTAAACAAATATAATTGTATTTTTCATTCAAAAATGACACAGAGATGGGTTGTGTTATCTACTTTGTATAATATATATGTAGTTATACACTAGGAAATGATATAGAATAAAATAGGTTTCATTTTTATATCAAAATACACATATATTAAAGAAATACAGAATATGTAAACAAGGGGAAGTTCTCATTTGTATGTGTGGATTGGACACTTCATTTACAACACATAGTAGTTTTCAACCAATTTTATAATGAAATTATTTGTCAATCTGTCATTTTGGTTGTATTTTCTTCATTCAGAAATGAATGGAAATTTTGCTTTTAATAAACTCAATTTTGTTATGAGACCTTATGAATAGTAAATTCACTTCCCTAGACTTTCACTAAAATAGTTTAAATATTTTCATTTGAGTCAGTTGGTTTAATGTTTTATCATGTACCACATCAACTTAGTATTCATCAACTTTCCAAATACTCATCATTGTGTAGATGCAATCAACATATCATTCGCTCATTCATTTATTCATTCATCAATGTGACAAATATTTTTGGTGCCAGCTCTGAGATAGGTGCTAGGTCACTACAGAAATTTATAGTTAAATGCTATCTACTGTCATTTACAAAACTGGCAAATAGTAAAAGAACCAGAAGACATACAAAATGATTATGTTGCATTGAAACGGGAATCGCAATGAGACAGGAGTACAGAAAGCTGTTAGGTTCCCATGGGGAAAGATTGCATTAAGTTGGGGTATCAGGAAGAAAGAAAACCACAAAGAAGGCAAAAATTGAACTAGACTTTGATAATTGAAAATTGTTAGGAAGAATATCTTAGGTGTGGGAACAAGGATATGCAAATGTGTGGAAGCATGGAGAAAGATCTTGAGAACCTGAGAACCTATAGTCCTGTGTACTTGAAGATAACAGAGGTAGTGTAGGAAATAGGCATTAAGGCTATGTTTAGAAATCTTTATCTTATTGATTGATTAAAGACTTAGGAGACAACAAAGTAGAAAAGTAACCTTATTTATGGTAATTTGGCTACAGCCAGGTCTAGTAGAGTTTGGGAAAATAGTTGCAGAATGCAGGAGCATCAGTTTGGAGGCACTTACAGCAATCCAAATGAAAAATAACAAAGCCTTAATTGAAGAACCAGTAGAGGTAATGAAAAAGAAGAGATGAATTGTAAGACTTTTATGTTATACAAAGCTTGGGATTTGACAACTAATTTGCTGTGAAGTACACAAGGATAAGGCTTTGTTCCTAAAGAGGCCAAGGCCTTGCCAGTGTTGTTAACAGAAAAAGAAGGCAACTGATCAAGACTGAAAGTAAAGAGAAGTATACTGATTGGTTTTTTACATCTGTTGAGTCTGTATGCCAATGGAATATCCCTATAAAATAAATCTGTGATGGAATAAGAGTATAGCTCTCAAAAGAATTAAACCAGAAGGGATGTATTAATTAAATTTATGGAAATGAGTGGATTGACAGTAGAGAACCAGAGAAGTTCACATAAATGAGGGGAGGAGCAAGAAGCATCAGGAAAGGAGTAGTCAGAGATTTCAGACCATCATGAATAATTAAAAACTAAGATAAAGTCACGAGGTGACTATGTCACTCGTGAACCTCAAAGAGCAGATTTTTTTTTCAGTAACAAGAACAGGTTGCAAGGACACTGAAATTAGTAAGTAGTTAAGTAAAATAGGAGAGAATAAGATTTGGGGAGTGGAGCTGAACTGAGAAGGGTTGCAGGTTTGGTGAATTGGTAGTGATCTAAGTGGACTGAGTGGAGAAAGATCCCAACAAGAGGAAAAAAATAAATAAAATGATATACTGAAAGGAGGACACTATTGAATCAGAGACATATTTTGGGCGGTACATTCTGTAAAAAGGCTTCTGAGGTGGCAAAAAAAAAAAAAGCAATAAAGAAAGAAAGGAAGCAGAAAATATCTGGAGTGTGGTGTATGGTAGAGAGAATTAAAAAAAAAAAAATGGACTTGGATGGCTTCTGACTTCTCAGTGAAATCTGGGCAAGACTGAGAGATACGGATAGCGGAAATATCATTCATCCAAAAGAAGGACTGGTGTTTTTTCATGCTACTAGTGTGAAAATCAGTTAGGGCTGCAATCATTTCAATTGCATTTTGAGCTTCTGGGCTTTATGTGTTTCAACATTGGAGATGTGGCTAATTGTAGCTTCCTCTGTTCCAGGCGGTGTGGTTACAGCAAAGCAAAACAAGATCCGGAAGAGGAAAAGATGCATTTTCATAATGGGCACAGTAAGCAAATTATAAAAAATCAAGAGAAAACAAAATAGAGGAGGTTTTATTTTTATTTTTATATACTTTCAGACAAAGATATGTGTAATAACTGACCAAAATATTGTGTTTAAAAAAATGTAAGTGTTCTATTATGTCCCTGTAAAGCATATGGGCTTGGGGGCATTGCTGCCTGACTCTAGACAACAGCTGGATGATTTATTCAATTTTTTAAAACAAACCTTCATTATAATTAAAAAAAACAACTCTTCTCAATCATTATAAAAAGCTATTATATTTCAAACCAAATTTCCAGGCCAATTCTAATTTCTTCCAGCAGAGTCAGTAGAAAGTTATCATTAAATAACACCATTGGAAGAAGCAAATAAAATTTCTCAGTATCTTTCTTCTTTTTCTAGCACTTTAGCAGGAATTTCCTGTGCAGATCCTATAGCAACAATCTTCATTCAATCATTTGAAAAAGACTATCCTTTTTTAAAAACACAGAAAATCAAGTTTTGATACCATACTTTAAAAACTAGACTAAGTGAGTCCAAAATTAATGGTATTTTAAAATGTGCATTTTGGGGGGAACCTGCGTGGCTCAGTTGTTAAGCCACTGCCTTTAGCTCAGGTCATGATCCCAGGGTCTTGGGATTGAGGCCTGCTCTGGCTCCCTGCTCAGCTGGAAGCCTGCTTCTGCCTCTTCCACTTCCCCTGCTTATATTCCCTCTCTTGCTGTGTCTCTCTCTGTCAAATAAATAACATTAAAAAAATAAAATGTGCATTTTTCATAAATAGTATGGCATTAGTTGATTTGGCAAGTAAATAAAAATAATTTCTTTTGTTTTTGTCACTTTGCTATGACCATAAAAGTCAAAATCATTGAAGCCATAATTCATGCTGCAAAGCATTGAATCTGTTTTCATAGGTCCTATCCTATTTAATGCTATTTATCCTTAAAAAAAAAAAAAGCAACGTGTGAAATTGGTAGCCATTAAATGTGATGAAACTGAGGCTCATAGAATCATAGAGTATTAGTTAAAGCCATGAAGTAACAGGGGTAGAGTGAGAGATAGAACTTACCTTTTTCTTTTGACTTCTGTGTTAGTCTTACTGGACCAAAGCACCAGAAAAATTATTTTAAATTATTTTTTTGTAAAATCAAAATTCATCTATGATAGCATTTTAAGTGAAACAGAATAACAAAACAGCAACTCACAGCATTTCATTGCCCAGTGTAGGGAACAAACTTACCTTAGTTTGGCTTGGAGACTGACTCTATGAACATTATTGTTGAAAGATAATATCTATTCATATATGTTGTCATATATGAATTTCTTATACATACCAGAAATCCAGATTTCTACAATTATAATAATCACATAGCTATACAAATGACTCCTATAACTGAGGGGGTTGGGGGCTGTCCTTACATCTTGGGCATTTCTAGGAATTAGGGATTTAAGGGATTAGGGATTAATAATGTCTGATTTCATTCATCCTTACAAACAGTTATATTTTAATGCACATTTATTTTTCCAGTTAAGCTGCCAGGAGTAAGAACTTATATTGATCCACACACCTATGAGGATCCCAATCAAGCTGTCCATGAATTTGCCAAGGAGATAGAAGCTTCATGCATCACCATTCAAAGAGTTATTGGAGCAGGTACAATAGTGTGTTTAACTCATACTTTTATTTATTTCTATTTTTTATCTAAAATTTGGGTAGTTAATATAAAATGCAATATTTGTTTCTGGAGTAGAATTCAGTGATCCATCACTTACATACAATTCCCAGTGCTCATCCTAACAAGAGCCCTCCTTAGTGCCCATCACCCATCTAGCTCACCGCCCATCCACTTCCCTCCATCAGCTTCAGTTTGTTCTCTATCCTTAAGAGTCTCTTATGGCAGGACAACTGGGGGGCTTAATTGGTTAAGTGTCTGCCTTTAGCTCAGGTCATGGTCCTGGAGTTCCAGGATTGAGCCTTGCCTTGGACTCCCAGGGAGTCTGTTTCTCCCTCTGCCCCTCACCCCAGCTGTGTTCTTTCTTTCACTCTCTCTGTCTCTTTCTCTCTCAAATAAATAAAATCTTTTTTAAAAAAAGAGTCTCTTATGGGTTGTTTCTGTCCCTCCTTTTTTCCTTTTCCCCCTTCCCATATGTTCATCTGTTTTCTTTCTTGAATTCCACGTGTAAGTGAAATCATATGGCATTTCTCTTTCTCTGACCTATTTTATTTTACATAACATAATGCATTCTAGCTCCATCCATGTCATTGCAAGTGACAAGATTTCATTTTTTTGATGACTGAGTTATATTCCATTATATATAATATATTCATTCATCAGTCAGTGGACATTTGGGCTCTCTCCATAGTTTGGCTTTTGTTGATAATGCTGCTATAAACATCAGGGTGCATATATACTTTGAATCTGTTTGAAACTGTATTTTTTTATCCTTTGGGTAAATACCTAGCAGGGAAATTGCTAGACTGTAGGAGAATTCTATTTTTAACATTTTCAGGAACCTCCACTGTTCTCCAGAATGGCTGCGCCAGTTTGCATTCCCACCAACAGTGAAAGACAGTTCCCCTTTCTCAGCATCCTTACCAACTCCTGTTATTTCTTGTGTTGTTAATTTTAGCCATCCTGAGAGGTGTGAGGTGATATCTCATTGTGGTTTTGATTTGTATTTTCCTGATTATGAGTAATGTTGAGCATCTTTTCATGTGTCCATTAGCCATCTGGACGTCTTCTTTGGGAAAGTATCTATTCATGTCTAGTTTTTGACTGGGTTATTTGTTTGTCGGGTGTTAAGTTTGATAAGTTCTTTGTAGATTTTGGATACTAACCCTTTATCAGATATATCATTTGTAAATATCTTCTCCCATTCCATAGGATGCCTTTTAGTTTTGTTGATTATTTCCTTTGCTGTGCAGAAGCTTTTTAACTTGATGAGGTCACAATAGTTCATTTTTGCTTTTGTTTCTCTTCCCGGTGGTGATGTGTCTAGTAAGAAGTTCCTACTGCAAAGTCAAAGAGGTTTCTGCCTGTGTTTTCCTCTAGTACTTTGATGGTTTCCTGTCTCACATTAGGATCTTTTATCCATTTTGAATTTATTTTTGTGTATGGTGTCAGAAAGTGGTCCAGTTTCGTTCTTTTGAATGTGGCTGTCTTATGTTCCCATCACCATTTGTTGAAGAGACTCTTTTTTGCATTTAACATTCTTTCCTGCTTTGTCAAAGATTAGTTGACCATTGAGTTTTGGGTCCATTTCTGGGTTTTCTATTCTGTTCCATTGATGTATGTGTCAGTTTTTGTGCCAGTTCCATACTGTCTTGATCACTACAGCATTGTAATGTAGTTTGAAGTCTGAAATTATGGTGCTTTAAGTTTTGTTTTTCTTTTTCAGAATGCTTTGTCTATTCAAAGTTTTCTGTGGTTCCATATAATTTTAGGATTATTGGTTCTAGTTCTTTGAAAAATGGTTTTGACATTGTGATAAGGATTGCAATAAATCTGTAGATTGCATTGGGTATATAGACATTTTAACAATATTTGTTCTTCCAGTCCATGAATATGGAATGCTTTTCGATTTCTTTGTGTCCTCTTCAATTTCTTTCGCAAGTGTTCTATAGTTATTAGAATACAGATCTTTTACTTCTTTAGTTAGATTTATTCCTAGGTATCTTATTGTTTTTGGTGAAGTTGCAAATGGGATTGATTCTTAGATTTCTTTTTCTGCCGCTTTGTTATTGGTGTATAGATATGCAATGGATTTCTGTATGTTGATTTTAAATCCTGCAAATTTGCTTAATTCGTGTATGAGTTCTAGAAATTTTTTGGTGGAGTCTTTCAGGTTGTCTACACAGAGTGTCATTTCACCTGCAAGTAATGAAAGTTTGACTTCTTCCTTGCCTTCCTTTTTGTTACCTGATTGCTGAGGCTAAGACTTCCAGTAATGGTAAGAGAGGACATCCTTGTCTTGTTCCTCACAATAGGAGAAAGGCTCTCAGTTTTCCCCCTGAGGATGATATTAGCTGTGGGTCTTTCATATATGGCCTTATGATGTTGAGGTTTGTTCCATCTAACCCTACTTTGTTGAGGGTTTGCATCAGGAAGGGATGCTATATTTTGTCAAATGCTTTTTCTGCATCTATTGACAGGATCGTATGGTTCTTATCTTCTCTTTTATTAATGTATTGTATCATGTTGATTGATTTGTGAATATTGAACCACCCCTACAGCCCAGGAATAAACCACACTTGATTGTGGTGAATAATTCTTTAAATGTACTGTTGACTCTGATTTGCTAGTATTTTTTTATAATTTTTGCATCCATGTTTATCAGAGATAGTGGCTTCTAATTCCCCTTTTTAGTGGGTCTTTGTCTTGTTTGGGGACCAAAATAACGCTAACTTTATAGAATGAGTTTGGAAGTTTTCCTTCCATTTCTTTCTTTTTTTTTTTTTTTTCTTTTCTTTCTTTCTTTTTTTTTTTTTTTCTTTTTTTCTTTTTTCACTCTCTTCCCATTTCTGTTTTTGGAAGAGTTTGAGCAGAATAAACTTAGCTCTTCTTTTTATTTTATTTTATTTTATTTTTTTAGGCATTAGCTCTTCTTAAAATGTTTGGTAGAATTCCCTGGAGAAGGCATGTGGCCTAGGACTTTTGTTTGTTGGGAGATTTTTGATTACTGATTCAGTTTCTTTTCTGGTTATGGGTCTGTTCCAATTTTCTATTTCTTCCTTTCTCAGTTTTGGTAGTTTGTAAGTTTCTAAGAAATTGTCCATTTCTTCCAGATTTCTCAGTTTGTTGTCGTATAATTTTTCATAATATTCTCTTATTATTGTTTGTATTTCTGTGGTGTTGGTTGTGACCTCTTTTCTATCATTCATGATTTTATCTTTTGGGGTCCTTTCTCTTTTCTTTTAATTTGTGTTTATATTATAGAATATACCATGTCAATATCCTGATCTTTTTTTTTAATGTCCTGATGTAACATAGAATATTTTTAAATCTTTTATAACTGACTTACTTTCAAAGTGGTATGTTATTTGTCATATTTTAATGCTTCTGTCTGTGGAGCTCATATTTTAACCCGAGAATGTGAGACTCCTGGGTGGCTGAGTTGGTTAAGCATCTGCCTTTGGCTCAGGCCATGATCCCAGGATTCTGGGACCAAGTCCTGCATTGGGCTCCTTTCTCAGCAGGGAGCCTGCTTCTCCCTCTGCCTGCCACTCCCCCTGCTTGTGCTCTCTCCATCTCTCTTTCTGACAAATAAAAAAATAAAATCTTTAAACCAGCAAGTGTTTGTTTTATAAAATTAAAAAAAAAACACAGCAAAAATATGTATATTCAAACATAGGATTTTATTATCTACTATTTTTATATTCCATATATAATTTGTAGTACCTGAAACTATTTACATAGTTTAAACACTCGGTTACTCTGTTTATGAATCATCTCCTCCTTAAAATTATTTCCTTTTTGTCCTTCCATAAACTTTCTTCTTTTTCTGTTCTTATTAATTAAGGCACTGCTACCGTAGAAAGAGAAGGAGGAGGGAAGTGATTTTCAGTCAGTTACATTCAATTTCTTTCTAATATTTTCATTAAGGTTTTTGTAAGTGAGATGGATGAAGCTAATAACCCCCAGTGTTTTATGATCACCAGTAGACGATTTTTCCCAAAGCACCACGTATTCTCTTACCACTGATAATGAAGTTTGGACTCCCCTTTAATACTGTTTTGTCTAAACATTAATATTCTAGGACTTTAGCATATTATTAGGGTAAAGATTTGAAATAATTTTGTGTTTTTCCATCTTTATAACAAGGTGAATTTGGTGAAGTTTGTAGTGGACGTTTGAAACTTCCAGGAAAAAGAGATTTACCTGTGGCAATCAAAACCCTGAAAGTAGGCTACACAGAAAAGCAACGCCGAGATTTCCTGGGTGAAGCAAGTATCATGGGGCAGTTTGATCATCCTAACATCATTCACTTAGAAGGTGTTGTGACCAAAAGTGAGTACAGTAGCAATTACATGTGTGTGTATGTATCATGAATATCTGGGTGTCTTCTATTAGGTTATTATTAATTTCAGGATAAAAAGAAAATTAGCCACAGCAATGTTATTCAAAATGACTCTAATATTAATAATAATTTTCCTGTATTTTAATAGATTCTTGTCCAAGCTGCTCTTTGCAGTTATCTGTAATGATCTTCCATTTGCCCAAAACTCTTATTCAAATATTTCATTTAATTTTGTCTCTTTTGCATGTATGTCTCTTTTGCTACCAAAAAAAAAAGTAAAAAAAGTCTGTTCCTTAAAAATACAGATAGTGTCTTAAATATTTATGTAAGCCTATTATACCTAAAGCTAAACCAGTCCATGGTCAGTTAAACATTTTGAGCCCCAATATCACCAAAAAAAGAGAGACATCATACCTAACTTGTAATATTGTTAAATAGATTAAATTAAAATATATTTGTGTGTATGTGTGTATGTGAATAAACCTGCAGCTAATTAGAGTAGTGAATAAATATTTATTTTAATCTAAGTGAATGCATCAGATACTAGTGGGCAACACCCCAAAATTATTATAATTAATATTCACTTCCTTTTATAGACCTCTGATTTATTATAAAACTTGTTTACTGTAAATAGGTCCTGACTGAGACAAACTAAGACAACTAAATTTATCATATTAAGTCAATTAAATTTGTCATATATTTTATATGTACTTGAAACCTTTATGAACACATGATCATATCTAAATTTTATAAATTTTAGTCTAAAAAACAGTACTCGAGCTGGGAATACAGATTGGAGATGTCTAATCTCCTAATCAAATATTCTATTTGCTGTTGCTGCCATGAAACTACACATATACATAAAGCAAAATGAAAATATTTAAAATATTTCTGTCCTACTTTTTGTTCTATGTGAGCTTAAACTGCATTCTCCCTTAATAAATGTGCCTCTTGATGTTCAGCCTAGGAAGTCTTCAGCTTGTTTTTAATTTACCATGTTGCAACTCACTTTATTTGTGTCCTTAATTTCATGCTTTCTGATCTGATGCTAATTTATTCAACAATTATTCTCAACCTGCAGCACACAGATAATGAGACATAAGTGCGACTAAATCTCATGATTTTTCTGATTGTAGCTGAGGTAGGGAGTCTGAAGTCACACACCTATGGATGGTGCTATCATGAACCTTCATCTTTCTTGTACCACTGCTCTACGTGTCAGAAACATGAGTCCGAATTCAAATTCCATCTGTGATGTGTTGTTAAAGAAGGCATATCAGAAATATTTATATATTCCTGAGAGACTTCATGAGAAATGATGTAAAAACCCCACAGGTCCTGGCTTAATTGGCTCAATCACAATACAAGATGCTTTAATGTAATATATATAGTGCCAACTTCTATGATTTGAAGAGATTCAAAATTAAAGGAAAAATAGGAAAAATAATTTTCCCATTGCAGCATCTTTAGTTCTTTAAGATATATCTTTCCCCACTTGTGGAAATTATTGTCAAAGTTGACTAAAGGAATACTTCTATTGAGTCCTAAAATGATTCACTGTTGTATTTCTTAATCTAGGATCATGTACAAATAAATATAGTTCTGTAAAATTAATAACTTTAAGCAAAATATTAGAGAAACATAGAGAAATCTCTCCTTATTTGTTTCTATTTCTATGTCTGAAGAGATAGCACATTCAATGACAACTGATTGTTTAAATAGACAATTCTGACTTATTAGATAAATTTGCAATTACTTTTCAAATATAGTATTTCATTCTATCTTTTAAAGTCACTTCCATCTTACAGGCTCTTACTATGTATTTTACAGGGATATTTCAACAATCCTCAAACTAACCTTCCCACTTTTGTCTAATCTTATCCCATTCCATACATATATTGCCCGAAGGTAGACTTTACTAAATCACTGCTTTCCTCTGATGATTCATCACCAAACAAGCAAAAAATGAAGCAAAGTATATATACTTTGATGCTTAACCCCATGTAATTTTGGCCATAACCCCACATTTCACTATTTCCTTTCCAGAAAAACTCTTACCGAGTCCTTGTTCTACCTCTTTGAAATACCTCATTCAGCCATAAACTGTCCTCTCCACTTACCTTGGCTCTACCTGACCTTCAATATTAATTCAGATGTGACTTTATTCATGAGATCATTGTCATTTATCTTCATTTTTTCTTTCTATTCTCAGTGCCTGCCTTGCATACAAGAACCACTAAATAATGTTGAATGGCTCAGTAAAGGAAAGCTTCCCATCCACAAGTAGCTCAGTAAAGGAAAGCTTCCTGATTCTACATTAGAATTTAAGCTTCAAAGGGCCCAGGTTTTTGTTGTCTTGCTCAGCTGTGTGTTCCTAGATCAGTGCTCAGCATGTGTAGCATTTCATATATCTGTTGAATGAGTAAATTCTCAGCCAGGGACAATCTTATACACTCGATCTTGTATACTCAAGCACTTCATCTTGCTATGCATGATATCATAGTTATCCCTCCACACGTTTTATCATCCTTACTACAAAATGAGCTACTTGAAATTGATATATGTTTATAGCCTCCCTAGTCTCTATCACAGGGCCAGACACATTAGGTGATTAAAAAAAAAAAAAAGACATAAATTGTATTAACTAAGTGGAATGACTAGATGTGTTTATATAAACATTTAAAACTAGCCAGATATATAGTTTATATTTTATTTTGAAAATTTTATCCTATAAAACTAAGGTTGTTGTTGAAAAAAAATAAAATTCATATGAAGGAAATAGCTTGAGAATCTTTTCAAAAGATCTTTTATATAACACCTACTACTACTACTAATCATTAACATTACTTTAAGAATTTACAAAAAAAAAAAAAAGAATTTACTAAGCTTAATTCTCTTTATTATCTCCTTTAATCTCCACAATAATCTATTGTTTAGACACTAGTATTTGTTCTCATTTTACAGATGGGAAAAATCAACTTTAAAGAGGTTAAATACCTTATTTAGTATCATAAAACTAGCATAGAATAATGCCACATTTTAAAACTTTCATATAACTTCCAAACCCAAGCTCTTAAAGAGTGTACATTACCAATCTCATATTTCATCATTCAGTATACACTTGACAAACATTGATTTATTCAAAGATATTAACTGACCACCTAATATATGTCCATAGCTATTAATATGTCCATAGCTATTAATCAGGATACATCAGAGATTAAACAGACTGAGTTCCTGCCTTTATGAAGTTTACTTAGCGTGGGGCGACAGAAACTAAATGAATAAATATATTTATAATATATTAAATAAGAAAATAAAGCTAGGTGAGGAAACAAGGGATTGCTTTTGTTGAGGATTGGTAATTTCTATTTTATTTAGTTAAAGGCCTCTCTAGTAAGGCTTGAATAAAGTGAAGGTGTGGGTCTTACAAATATCTGGGGACAGAATGTTGTAGAAATAAGCACCAGCAAGTCTTAAATGCAACTTACATGGGATGTTCAAGAAATATCAAGGCCATTGTTGCTTCAATGGAATGAGGGAGAGGAGTCTGGAAAGAACTTAACTTGAAGATGTAGTGTTGCTTCAATGGAATAAAGGAGAGGAGTCCGGAAGGAAGTTAACTTGGAGATATAGTAGGAGGAGAGATGGTGCACAATATTTGGTCCCTATAAAGACCATCTTTTAGTCTTAGCTTTTCCACCAAGATGTGATGGAATCTGATATCTGTGTTAACAAGATCAGTCTGGCTGCCATGTTAAGTATAGATAGTAAGAGCCTATGTTTAAGCAGGGAGACCATGGGGAGGCTACTGACATTATTCATACCTCATTATGGTCTAGATCAGGGTGCTGATCTAGCATGGAGTGTAGTATTTGGATTCTTTAGATATTTTGAAGACAATCACAGAAAGGCTTCTTGTGATTTAGATATGGAGTGTGAGAAAAAGAGAAGAGTCAATAATTATTAATTATTTGTCATTAGTTCTTCAAAGAAAGGAATTGCCATTTATAGGGAAAAGTCTAGTAGAATCAAGACTGTGGTTGGTAATCAGTAGTTTAGTTTGGACAACTTACATTTGAGAGGCCTATAAGCATGTAGTGACTGATTTACCTTTAGTCCTGAGATGTAAAAATGTAAATGTTTTAAAGTGTAAGTTTACTTGAATTTTACAATGTACATTTCACATAAGGAAATAAATTCTATGAACCAGTGATAAACCACAATGGAAACAAATTTAAAGCTGAAGTAGAAATAAAAGCCAGCTCATTGATTCAGTGCCTGCGTTTCTTTGTTAAGGCATAGAATGAAGTTTAAGAAATATGTGTAAAATAATTATTAGCTATTTATAAGTATTCTTCCTAATAAAATCTAATTCTTGCTCATCAAAAAAATAAAATAGAACTATACAAACAAAATTTATTGTCTCATAGATTGACTATTAGTAAATTAATCATTGTATTTTTAAAGTTATTTTCATTATTAATAAAAGAAAACTATCAGATTTCTTAATTCTCGGATTCCCCACCTCCTCTGAAAAGTTCATAATTTCTGTTCCATAAGTAATCATCTACCTTCAGTAATGTTAGAACAACTCAAATTAATTCCTAATTTGAGAAATGAGCATCTACTGAAAAAGTTTATCAGTGTAAACAATCTGGAATAAAAGAAGATATTACGGAAAGTTTCAAGTTTCTATTTAGAGACATTTGGTGTTTTCATGCTCCTGTTTCAGGTAAGGTATATCAACTTTTTACTTTATCATCTTTCCCAAAATTAAAATTACAGAATGTTATAAATGATTTTTCTCTAAAATGTTAACCAACAACTAAAGACCATAATGGAATTAAAATATGAATACCCTTTTAATTGCCCCATACTTTGTCCTCCCCTCCTTAACCCCTTAATAAGCTTTATTTATTCCTGTCCTAAGCACAAGATTCCATTTTCTGGTTGACCATTAACCATTAATAATTGAACCATGATATTT